TAATTAACACAGAGCTGTTTAACGACACCCCCGTGTCCATAAAGAGCTCCTGATGAGCCAAGGTCCCCCCACTCACCCCAGCCTGGGTGTGGGACCCCCCCAAAACTGCCAAGCAGAGCACGGGGAGGGATCACAAGCCGAGGCGAGGCTGGAGGACGGGCGGGCTCCGAGCGTCCCCCGCTGCTCCCTGCCTGACCTCGGGCTCCTGGTGCCCCATTCCCAGGGGAAACACGCTGAAGAACATCGAGAAGGAGTGCAATGCCAAGATCATGATCAGGGGCAAGGGCTCGGTGAAGGAGGGCAAGGTGGGCCGCAAGGACGGGCAGATGCTGCCGGGCGAGGACGAGCCCCTGCACGCCCTCGTCACCGCCAACACCATGGAGAACGTCAAGAAAGCCGTGGAGCAGGTTCGGGGGTGTCCCCAAGGGGTGTTTTTGGGGGGTCTGGAGGTGCAGCCCCCCCCGTCTCACACTCCCTGTGCCCCCCAGATCAGGAACATCCTGAAGCAGGGCATCGAGACCCCCGAGGACCAGAACGATCTGCGCAAGATGCAGCTGCGGGAGCTGGCGCGGCTCAACGGGACCCTGCGGGAGGACGACAACAGGTCAGAGGGGTCCCATCACCCCTTAAATAATTCAAGGATAATCCCCTGAGCCCCCCAAATAACCCTTCTGTGCCCTGCCCAGGATCCTGAGGCCGTGGCAGAGCACTGAGACTCGCAGCATCACCAACACCACGGTGTGCACCAAGTGCGGCGGGGCCGGGCACATCGCCTCCGACTGCAAGTTTGCCAGGTGACCCCCAAAATAAACCCCCAGATCTTCTTGGGGTTCCCTAAATGTCCCCCCAAAAACCGACCAGATCTTCCTGAGATCCTCACAATTTTTTGAGATACTCTGCCTGAGATGCTCCCTCAATTTCCTCCAAATGTTCCTTCAATCTCTGAGATCTCAAACCTTGAGATTCCCTAAATCAGCCTTGAGATCTCCCCAAACCCTCAAAATCCTCCCTAAACTTCCCTGGGAATCCACCAAGTCCTCAAAACCCCCTTGGGGATCCTGCTAATCTCCCTGAGATTTCCCCAAAACCCCACGAAATACTTTTAAATCGTTCTCAAGCCCCTCTGGAATCCCCCAGAACTTTTCTTAGGGCACCCCCAGGGTTGGGTTTGGGGGAGGATTTTGGGGAGGATTTTGGGGGTGCAGCCTCACCGTGCCCCACCCTTGGCAGGCCCGGGGACCCGCAGTCGGCGCAGGACAAGGCACGGATGGACAAGGAGTACCTGTCCCTCATGGCCGAGCTGGGCGAGGCTCCGGTGTCCGTGAGCTCCAACGCCGCCCACAACAACAGCCCCTTGTCCAGCAGCCACCGTGCAGCCAGCCAGGCTGGGGGGCAGCCCCCCCCGGTGAGTGACACCCCAAAAATACCACCTCTGGGAGCCCCCAGAGCTCACCTGAAACAGCCCAAAATCAGCCCTTCATCCTCACCTGGTCAGGTGTGGGAGCAGTGCCTTCCCCACTCAGTGACACCCCAAAAAAAACACCTCTGGGAACCCCCAGAATCACCTGAAACAGCCCAAAATCAGCCCTTCATTCTCACCTGGTCAGGTGTGGGAGCAGTGCCTTCCCCACTCAGTGACACCCCCCAAAATACTTCTGGGACCCCCCCAAAATCCTCACATCCACCCCCGCACTGAC